TATAATTGAATAAATACCTGAAGTTTTATTTTTATTATTATTATTTTTTTGTCAAAAAACTTTCGAAACACAAATCACGTTTTTCGAAAAATTAAGCAATGGCATTTTTAATATCAATTTCAAACAATGGCGTATTCAAGTGTGGGTGGAATGAATGGGGGAGATATCTCACCACAGACATTTCTATATACTTTTAATAAACTCGAGAATTTATAGACGCGTACGATAAAACATCTTCTAAACATGAAATGTTTAGAAACAGGAAGTTTCATAGGAAAAAAATAGATCAACAAAATTTTTAATGCATCAGACATCTGAAAACACAAGGAAGTATTGTCTACAATTTTTATTGGTTAATTATAGTCTTGGAATGAATAAATCTTCCGATTCTATGAGACAAATTATAAATCACAACAAAAGTGCTCAATTGAATATATTCACGTTTCAATGCAATGACCATCATTGAATTGCAGTGGTCAACATAACATGTTTCATATATCGTCCAATGTCGTTGTGCATTAGAAGATCGTTATTTATATTTCGAGTCGCATCTAATTGTATTAAAAAAACTGAATGTTATATTTTCTTCACAATAAAATTGATAATCCATTCGAAATACTTCGAAATGTTGGTCGAGGCCCAATTTAGTAACTTGTTCTTGATCAGAGTAAAATTATATGTCGATTCAGAGAATGTCCTTCTTTCCGTAGAATTCACACAAGATTTCGCAATACAGTCGAAATGGCCTATAAATCAAGATATCGCGATATATCAATATATAAGCGATAATAGTTTTAAGCGGCATTATATAAAGGGTAGAAAGTCATTAAAATTAGTTCGATAGTATTAAAGATTAAACTGTGTATTCTTACAACTCTCTCACGTGAACATTTTAATCTTCTTTTTGACAACCGAAGTGGCAGATGTTTGGCATTTTGAGTTGTTAAATATGACCACCTTTTTAATTTAAGGAAGCCCTCCCCCATTCTCGACTTCCAATTTTGATTTGATAAGAAGAATAATGGATAACATGTTTTCTTTTGTCTTGTTTTTTGTACTTAAAAAATACTTCTTTTCGATGCCATCAATGCCGATCACTGGAATATTCCAATTTCACGCAAAGCTATTAGAAACAGAAAATTTTTGGCTCTGGCATGAACTAGGATTATTGACTACGCTAAAAATGAGCAAAATGGGCGGACCTAGGAAAATTATTATTTACAACTAAAAAACCCAAATTGAAAACCAGTGAGCGGAGTAGTGTAGTCGGACGGGCCGACCACATGATACCCTACACAACTTCCACGAAAGTCTAACTTTCTGTGGCTTTATGTTCTGAGCTTGGGCAATGTTTCGCGATATTTGCACCCTCTTGACGGACTAGAGGTCAACAAATATTACTAATATTCAGTACAGCCTTTCTAATTACTTGTCCATTTTCTCTTTACCCTTTGTGTTGTTAAGTTCGGCTATCAATTGTGGCCTATAGATCGACTCCAATTTACACAAAAAATCAAGTCCACTTTATCCCAAAACTATTATCTGATCATCACCGACAAGTATAGGCGTTGTCCTTGACCATACCTGGATCCTCATGGAATATTTCAAAGCGATCAACTCTATATTTGTGGTAATGGGTAATGGGCTACTATATAATATATTAATACGTAATTACCTGTAAAAATGTATGTGTAACTCTCACATCCGGGTACATACGACAATATAATTGGTATAGATTTAAAGGTCAACCACTCATCTTCGATATGCTATCAACATTTTTGGTCAATGTCCTTCAGGAGTAAATATATACACTATAGAAGACAAATTTTGTCATTTTTCACACAAAAGTCAGGGTCCATTTGACCCGCTAAATATTGACCGATCATTATCAAAACAGGCATGCTTGTTCTTTGGCCCTACCGCCTTCTCCCTGTAAAAATTCGCGATGTTTGGGCCATAATTGCGGCCTCTGGAGCAACCAGAAAAACCCACAAAAAGTTAGTATTTGGTCCATTTCATCTCCTAAATATTAACCGATATTTACCAAAAACAATAGGGGTCTTCATTGGCCAGAACCCCATCCTACATGCAAAATTTCGTGAAGATTGGTCCATAACTGTGGCTGTATCGTATTTACAAATTATAATGGACAGACGGACGGACACACATGTCTATATCAACTCAGCTAGTCGAGATATAACGATCGGTATACCTAAAGGTGGGTCTAGGACCAATATTTCGCTGCGTTACAAACTCTTGGGGCTGTACAAAGCTATAATACCCTGACAACATAGTTGTGTAGCGTATAAATAGGGAAGATCTCCACCGATTGAATTTATCCTATGTAGGTCATAAAACACATTCTCAAAAATGTTCAAAAAATTTCAATTTAGGTATTTTAATAGATCTTATCATGGTGTGCAACACTGTAGGACAACACTTTTGGTGTGAAAAATTCCTATTGGGGATGAAAGAACTTTGTATGTATATAAAGGACAAATTCGCCATAGGTTACAGTTCGGAAATATGGCTAAGTTTTTTTGAAAATAGCTTATACTTGAAAAGATACCTTCATATCTTGATTTGTAGCTGTTGTATGTATTCAATAAAATCGAATGAGTAATTTTGTATACAACATTTCGTCCTTCTAACTGAATGTCGTGTGTGTCCTTTTCCCCTCTAATTTATTGAACCATACTTAAATTATTCCAAGATGAGATTTTTCGTCCTCTCAATATTCTACAAAAATGTTGCTAATAGGATTTTAGGTGGTACGTTTTAATGGTCTATTCTCAATTTTACCAATTTCTTAACACTGAAACCCTATACATATGTATGTACATACAGTTGCGGCCAAAATAATAGCAGTGCAGCCCATAATCAATATTTGGAAAACGAAAAAACATACCGTGATCGGACGATTCTATAATAGTTTTATATGGTGATACTGGATTCTGAAAAAATTTACGATCCCTAAAGCAATCAATGAAGGTGGAGCACTTTTGAAGGTTTAAACGTTTTTTCTTGTACTGCGAATGTGGACCAAGATATTGTATTCAAAATGCAATTTATGCCGCTCAATACTGCAACATATTTTAGTTCCATATGCAGAATATGAAATACATATAAAATGGAAATTTCAATAGGTCAATGATCCAAAACAAACCAGTCGATTAGCAAAATATTTCTCCAGGACAACAATGTTGATATTATGGAAGGGCCAGTGCAGCCACCGGTTCTAAATTCAATTGAAAATTGTGGTGCAATTTTAAAAATGAGACCGTCGTAGCTAAACCTATGAAAAATAATGAGCTATGGAGGATAATTTAAGAACATTGACTGAAAAATCCATGCGAAAGATAATTTAGTCAATTCAATGCAACGTCGATGTGCATCAGTGTTACGCGCCAAACCTTTGCAACAATATCCACGAAATAATGCATTTTATCTAGTTACATATGCTTAAGTTTTATATAAGGACCTTTTATGAATTTATGTTATATTTTCCTTGCATCTGCTATTATTTTGACTGACCTCATTTTAGGAATAAATCTGTTTTAACACAATATTTTCAAAATATAAGCTTTTTGTTATTATTACAAAAAGATTATATAATTATATAAATGTTTTTCTTCTGCTATTATTTTGAGCGCAGCTGTATGTATTTCAATTAATTCAGTACACATTCCTTATTATGAAGAACTGTCGGATTTCTACGAATTATTTACTAAAACCATATATAATTATGTCAATAAAAAATTCGAGAAAAAAAGGACCGGTTTTTGAAAGTTTGAACCGGATATTCATATAGTAAAACCGGTTTCAATGCCTTATCATTAGAAAGCTTGCAAGCAAACGTGCTAAATCTATTGAACCAGACTATTATAGGTTTTATACCGGTTCAAAAAATCAAGAAAATCCGTTATTTTTTCCACGAAATTTACGTGAATTTTTTTGAAGAATTACTGCCCAAAAATTTTCACGTGATCATTTTTTTTACAAATGAGATTATTTAACTCGAACCGTAACAAATGTGCAACGTCCCTATATCCGAAATATGCATAGTAGCCCTCGCATTCCATTGTATATCTCTCCTGAATGACAAAGATTTTGAAAACAAAAAACAAAACTCTCATATCGCTCTACCCGAAATATTAATAGCAATCCTCGCCTTCAACACAAATTGGAATTTCAACAAATGAAATGTTTCAAAAAATTACAGCAACAACATTAATATAAGAAAATCGATAAACAATACCACCAATCGTCAAACACTATTGACGCCTAACCGTCAATGGGTATTTATTTATTTTATATTCGATTTGTGACGAAGTGGTGTCGAAGACGATGAGTTCGGAATTGTAATTATTGGCAGGCGTCTTCACTTTCATTGGCAGTAGTGGTAAAAACAAAAACAACTAGAAGAACCAACCTTACTATGTATGTATATGTGTGTACAAAATAAGGCTAAAAATGCGGGGAGTGGTGGAGGGCAGCTTTAACTGCAAGTGAAGTGGCGTGGCGTTTTCTTGCTAATATGACCACATACGGCTTAGCAGTAGTCTTACCCGATTTACGTGCCAAGAATTTATGTTTGTCAAAAATTGAAATTTTTGTTGTTGTTAATTCGATGATGATATGTACGAACGATTTGCTTTACCTTCAAATGTTTGAAAATAAAATTGAAATTAATATTAAATAGCCGAAAAATACGTCTCTATGGTGGCTACCTTCGTTTAGAACAACAAAAACAAATGGTAATTTGGTGCAACCATGAACATGTCTTTTAACAAAAAAAAATCACAAATTTCGGTTGGTATGTTCATAGCCTGCCTCTTTTGCGTATGCGGGGGAGTGAGACACATGAACAACAGGTGAATAATTTTTGAGGGTCGCTCATAAAGAATTCGTCACTGGTATTGCTGCTCGTTCGTCTCTCATCCTCTGTTATGCATATGGAATTCCCTTCGTACCATCAGCGGTAGATTTCTGATCGGCGGCAATATAAATAGCCAAACCAATTTGGTAACGGTATGTCAGTTCAATTTTAAACAACCGACAGTGATAACAAACCCCCAAAAACTCCAAGCCTAACAATGAAATCCTTCGCTGTAAGTATTAAAAAATCGTTGGATTACCTTCTCAATGGTTGGACATTAATTTAATGGTGGTCAAATTATCCATTTAGGTTGCCGCTGTTGCCTCTACTTTGGCCATCTCTGCCAATGCCGGTTTGGCTCCCGTAGCTGCTCCCTACACCACATTCGGTGCTGTACCTTATGCCGCTCCTTATGCTGCTGGTCCCTACACTGCTGCTCCCTACTTCGCTGCCCCAGCTGCCTACTCAGCTCCCTTGGTAACCAAGACCTTCGCTGCTGCCCCAGCATTCGCTGCCCCCGCCGCTGTCTACAGCGCTGCCCCAGCTCCCTATGTTGCTGCTCCCATCGCTAAGACCTATGCTGCCGCTCCCTTGGTTGCCAAGACCTTCGCTGCCCCAGCTCCAGTTGTAGCTGCTGCCCCAGCTCCCGTTGTTGCTGCTGCCCCAGCCCCCGTTGTCGCCAAGGCTGTAGCTGCTCCTTTGGCTGCCCCCGTTGTTGCCAAGGCCGCCGTCGTTGAGCCCGAAATTGTCGATGCTCATCCCCAATACCAATTCGCCTACAATGTCCAAGACACCTTGACCGGTGACTCCAAGACCCAAGAAGAGACCCGCGATGGTGGTGTTGTCCGTGGCTCCTACTCCCTCATCGAACCCGATGGTTCCCGTCGTACCGTTAACTACTATGCCGATGACATCAACGGTTTCAACGCTGTTGTCCAAAAGGATGTGCCCGTTGCTGCTGCTGCCCCCGTTGTAGCTGCCCCAGCTCCCGTTGTTGCCAAGACCACCTTCGCCGCCCCCATTGTTGCCTAAACAGATTTGCCACTCCTTGCTTGACCAATAGTAGTGATCGAAGTGATGCATGCCATGGCACACACACATCATCAGACTCCACACCACCAGTACCCATTAGGAAATTAACGCACAAATTTTAGCCACAAATATTTTTATTTCGTTTTTGTTTTCGTTTTTATGTTCTCTTTTCGGTTATCATCCAATTATGCCATGTAGGGCTGCAGTAGCAGAAGAAAGAAAAAACAGTTAAGTGCTCCTGGGCATTGGATGTTAAACCGCCATTGCCATGGGCCAAAGATTGAGTGCACGAAGACAGTGTTAATTGCAGCGGTCGAACGGCTTTTCATTTGTAAATACTATTCCAGTTGAATCATTGTCGTGTCGTTGTAAAATTACTTTCATCACCTATTATGACCAAGACATTGATAAATGACAAAAAAAATTATTAAACAAATTGTTAAATAAATCTTTATTACTACCAAAAAAAAAATCTGAAAATTATGTTTTACTTTCAACCAACATCCCTATTGGGGATCAAAGTCCTTGGTAAGTATATGAAAACCCCCAGAAGAAAATCGCCATATGACAAAGTTCTCGAAAACTTCCTGTCGACCCTATCCTCATTTGTAGCTATTATATGTATTTTTGGAGATTACATTTCTGCAGTAAAATCGAATGAGGAATTTGTAGAACATTTCGTCCTTCTAACTCGTTTCCTAGACTATCCTTTTCGTCCTTAGTATATTGAACCGGACTCCAATTATAACAAGATGCTTTTTTTATTCTCGCAATATTCTACAAAAATGTTGCTTATAAGATTTTAGGTGGAGTCTCAAAGACGATATATCGATATATTAACGTTTTAATGGTCTAATCTCAATTTTACCCGTTTATTGTCACAAAAACCCTATATGTATTTCAATTAATTCAGTATACATTCCTTATTAAATAATGAAATGTCGTATTCGTCCGATTTTTTTTCTAAAATACATATATAGATAGAACCGGGTTTCAAAAATGTTGAACCGGATATTCAGATAATAAAACCGGTTTCAATACCTTATATGCATATCATTAGAAAGCTAGTAAATAAAACGTGCTAAATTTATTGAACCGGGCAATTATCGGTTTTATTACCTGAATATCCGGTTCACAAATTTAGAAAACCGGTTCCATTTTCCTCGAAATTTATTTATTTGTTTGGCATAACTATATAGTTTTTAAGGAAGTAATCCGAACAAATTCGACATGTCTACATAATACGGAATATATATTGAATTTATTGAAATAGGATTTTAGTGACAAGAAACGTTTTTGGAATATAACATTTAAAAGTAAAATATGTACCGTTACTATTGATGCCTTTGTTTTAGCTAAAACGAGGGTTAAAATGACACTTGCTAACTATTTCCCTTTATATGATTTTAAATACAAAATTTTAGATTTTTATTCCGACAAACATTTTTTTTGACACTGAAAGGGTTAAAACGTTAAAATACCAATTTCTCATCTTCGAGGACCCCAAAAATCTTAATAAGAATATTGCGAGGATGAAAACCCGCATCCTGTGGTAATTGGAGTCCGGTTTAATAGATCAATTACCAAAAGGACCCAAGGAATCGACTTTGGAGGACTGAATGTTCTACAAAAAAGTTCATCTATCCCATATAATAGGTAATCATCATATCTCCGAACTTTGACCTATGGCGATTTTTTCCTTCTGGGGTTTTCATATACTCGCCATCACTATATTTTTCATATAGGAACTTTCCACCCCCAAAACCTTGTCGCACAATGTAAATTACAGCACGTCCGATTGGTATCCTTATAAGAAGAATATTCTAAAATGTGGACCTAACTATAAACTAAAAATTTATGAAATTTTTTCCAAAATGTGGATCGAACTGTAATCTTTAAATAAAAATTTAATTTATTTTTTGTTTGTTTCGTATTTCAGATCCAACATGGAAGAATACTGGACTCTCTCGAATCATGAAAATCTGGCGCGAATGCGTTTAAAACTGGAACCGCAATTGTATCCGAATAAACATGAAAATGCCTCAAAGTTACGTGACAATGCTACAAATCATTACGATACCAAGTGAGTACAAAAATAAAATAGTCTCTTTAACTACAAAAAAAAAAAAAATATATTATCCCATTCAATTACAGAGAGATCCCGGAATTTGATTCGACAATTAAAAATGTTGTTGTTCGTGATTTTCTATCGAACGATGAAAATTCTCAATTAGAGGAAGATTTACTGCTGACAATTGAACAGCAATCGCAGCAGGACAATACAACAGAGAAATTGGTAATATCACAGGAATGTGAACTAATAACCCTGATGACTAAAGTCAAGGGTCGCATTGAAGTTAATCAGACAATGTTCACATTTATCGATCTAAGTCCACCGGCTGAAGATGGTTCGAAACATGATTTCAAGTAAGTTGGGCTAATACTAGTTAGAAATTATACATTTTGGTGCGATTTTAAGCTTCTGACTGAATAATTAATTATTTTTTATTTTATTTTTTTAGATTTTCCATTAATAAGATACGTGAAGTGCATTTAAGAAAATATAATTTAAGAAGAAGTGCATTGGAAATATTTTTGGTGGATCAAACAAGTTACTTTTTGAATTTCACCACAAAGGTAAGTTTTAAAATGTTGAACTAAATCTAGATAGTTCAAAACATAATAATAATACAAGGTAGGACATCTTAAGGTAATAACAAAAATTCAACAAAAATGCCTTCTTCTGTCAAATATAATAATAATATACGCAACAAGTTGTTGTGTTTATTTCACATTTTTTCAACACATAACTAAAAATGCGAAAAATCAATATGAGGTTTTATCCCAAAATCCAGTAGGAATACCATGAAATGTTTGTTTCTCACATAACAAAGTAATTTCTTCATTTTCATTCGAATATATTTCAATTTAATTTGAATTTATTTGGCATGGTATTCAGAACAATACACATTCACAATATATGTATTTTTATTTAATAGAACAATCCACCTTGAGAAAAAAATGTAATCAGTTGGTAGTAAAATATTTTACTAGAACTATTTTATTGCGTATTGAGAAGTAGGATCCAATTCTAGGTCCATGTCAATTTTAAATGAAACCCTTTCTTTACATCATTTCCATTCAATCGTAGTTTTCTCTTTAAAATATTTTATTTTACAGTTTCCGTAGAACTAGAATTTAGTCCTTGACTTTATCTTGTCCATTTTTGTTTTCTACTAAATATAATTTTTATTTATTTGATTTTAATATATATATATTTTTTTTTTCTTTTCTTTTGCAGACTCGCAATAAAATATTTTCGAAAATTCTAAGCCTACAACCACCTAATATTTTGTATGGTTCCGGCCGATCTCCGGCCGAATTATTAAAACAATCCGGTTTAACTCAGCGTTGGGTAAATCGTGAAATATCGAATTTTGAATATCTTATGTATTTGAATACAATAGCAGGTAATTTTGCAAATTATATGCCAAAATGGAATTTACTGTCATTGATGTTGATGTGTTTTTTGTTTTACTTTCAGGTCGTTCATATAACGATCTAAGTCAATATCCAGTCTTCCCATGGATTTTAGCTGATTATACAAGTGATATATTAGATTTAACAGATCCAAAATCATTTAGAGACTTGTCAAAGCCAATTGGTGTGGTAAGTATTAAAAAAAATAATAATAATATATTTAAAATAAACTGGCCTGCTTTTAACTCCAAGTTCAAAAAGGAGGTCACATTAATAGAATTCATCCTAATAAAATAGATTAAAGTATGTGGAGTTTATATGATAGTTGTAGAGTTGCAATATATAACAATTGCCATATATTCGGAAAAAATATAAATTGGGACGCTACACCATTCTTATTTGAATTGAATACGTAATAAAGTTTCAGTCGGGATTAAAATTTGCTGGAATATGATACTTATTAGATGCAGTCTTATTGGAGATTTTGGTATATTCCTGAAACAATTTGTTGGCAATATTGTTAAATTTATAACGTAAATTTCTAAAAAAAAACTATTGAATTTAAATATATAGTTTGTTTTGAGACTAATACTGAAATTTGACGCAGAATATTCCAATCTTTGAAAATAAGCACGAAAAATTAAGTTTCATGTTACTTTCATACAATTTATTGTAAAAGGTACTATGAAATTTCTATAAAAAAATTGGTAATGTTTTTTGAAGGTTTTGTCCTAAATTGACGTCCATATATAGGGTATATATATTACGTTGGAGAAAAAGAAATATATTCTTTTTATATGAACTATAGGACTTTATTTAACATGCTTCGGGATGTCCGATTTGGGCCAAATTGCACCGTTTTGTTGTATGATTTCTTGCCATTTTAAAGGTAATTTTATAATGTCTCTCTCATAGAAGTTCTGCTCTCTATTTTCAAAAAACTCTAGTAGTCGATTTTCACAATTTTCCCTAGATACCAATTTTTTATCATTAAAGAAATTTTGCAATTCAAGAAAAATATAATAATCGCTTGGTGCCAAGTCCGGACTGTATAGCGGATGCATTAAAACTTCCCAACCAAGCTCCCGAAGTTTCTGGCGAGTCACTGTAGATGTGTGTGGCCTAGCGTTATGCTGGTGGAACACGACACCTCTCCTGTTGGCCAATTCTGGACGTTTCTGGTCAATTGTAAATGGTTTAAAACAGTTTTATGGCCCATTTTTTAACTCCTGGGCGATGTTACGACTGCTAACATGCCGGTCAACTCCGATTTATCGACATTTTTGACGGCCGACGTACCTGTGCGAGGTGCATTTTTAACATCAAAAATTCCTAAACGGAGTCTATGAAACCAAAATAAAACATAAACACCATTCACAATTTTAGCCGCTTGGATTGCATTTTCGCCTGTTCACTTCCATTTTAACACCCGGTAACTTACAACTAACAGGAACTTACAACTAACAAACAGGAAAAATTTTTTTTACTGCGAAATGTCACTCTTCCAACGAGTTTGATCGATACTTTACGAGAAATCTCCCTAATCTCCCGTTGTTTCCCACAACAAATTTCAAGGGTTTAGTTATAATCGTTCACCTAATCCCTAGAAATTATGGAGGCAGAAAACCTCTATATTTCCGTTTATTCTCATATATTACTATTTATAAAAAAAAAGTATTGATTTATTTATTTACCTAGATAAATCCCAAAAATGAAGCTGAAACACGTGCAAAATACGATTCATTCGAAGATCCATCTGGAGCTATACCGAAATTCCATTATGGTACACATTATTCAAATTCTGCTGGTGTGCTGCACTATCTCTTGCGAGTGGAACCCTTTACATCACTGCATATTGAATTGCAAAGTGGTCGATTTGATGTAGCCGATCGTCAATTTCATTCCATACCACAAACATGGAAACTTTTAATGGACAATCCAAATGATGTTAAGGAACTAATACCGGAGTTCTTTTATTTTCCTGAATTTTTGAAAAATATGAATAAGTAAGTAATCCTTATTAGGGTTTGGTTGCTTAATTAACATTTTATTTTTTTATTTTCCTCTAGATTTGATTTGGGCCATTTGCAAATCACCAAAGAAAAAGTGGATGATGTTATACTGCCACCCTGGGCCACAACACCTGAGGAATTCATTGCCATACATAGAAGAGCATTAGAATCGGAATATGTTAGTCAAAATTTACACCACTGGATTGATTTGATATTTGGGTTAGTACATTACACCATTTAGAATAATATAGAATACAATAAAACCCTGTTGTTTATTTCAGTTATAAACAAAAGGGCCCCAAGGCCGTTGAAGCCTTAAATGTTTTCTATTATTGTTCATATGAAGGTGCCGTAGATTTGGATAAAATTACCAATCCAGTCGAAAGAGAAGCTGTTGAAGGTAGTGATGCCCTTACGTTCTCCATTTTATTTTTTTATCGTAATTATTTTCACATCCACTATAGGCATGATAAATAATTTCGGTCAAGTGCCTTCCCAACTGATGCGTGAACCTCATCCACGACGCCTGTCTCAGGAAGAAACTACACTTAAACTTTTGAGAGCTGAACTCAAACGTCCGGATATAACACAATTTCTGGACAAGGTTGTGCAATATTATTGTGAAATTTCCACGCCAAAAGATCCGATTGTCTACTTAAGTCCACCCAGGTCACCGCCACGTTCTTTTCTTCAATTAAGTCCCGATTCATTGATAAGCATATCGAAATCATGTATATTGGGTTGTAATTCATGGATGGCTTATGATAAAGATCGTGGTTTTCTATTGGAAATTGATGCAACAACAACAAATTTGAAGTGAGTAATATTTCTGTTTCCTTAGAAATAAATCGAAAAGGGAAATTCAGACCAAAATATTATATTCAGACTAAATCTTATTGTGGTTTTGTATATATTAATCTCATTTTTCTTTTGTAATACATTTAAGAAATCGTAAACGCATTTTTGGGCCACTGCATCCCTCACAAGCCTCACATTCCCAATTGTTTGCTGTTAGTACCGATGGTAAACTTTTGTATGCCGGAGGTATATGGGATAATTCATTGCGTGTCTATAGTGTACACAAAGGAAAAGTAGTTGCTTCTGTCACAAGACATTTGGGTATGTTATAAAATATTTATCTATTCGAAATTTGAAATACATATCTCATCTGATTTTAGATATAATCACCTGTTTGGCTTTGGATAATTGTGGTTCTTATTTGGTAACCGGGTCACGTGATTGCACCTGCATTATATGGAGCATACAAAATTCACATTCAAATTCCGGTCCATCAGCATCAAATATACCCGTACACGCGTTGACTAGTCAAACAAATTTACAGTCAATTATTCAACTTAATACACAAAATAGTTTCTCACCCAAACCGCTGACAACACTATATGGTCACGATGATTCCATATCAAGTGTGGCAATTTATACGGAATTGGATATGGTGGTTTCAGGATCATTGGTAAATTGAAACAAAAATATAAATTTTTACACAGCGCAGCACTAAAATCTTGAAACAATCGCCACCACCAAAATCGGCAAGCTTATGACGGTAGAAGAAAATCCCTAGCTCAGTTTTGATATAATAGCTAAGGTTTCTGTTTAATCATGTTTTTAAATTTTTTGACTTGAAGTGCATTTTCAAATAATACGTTCTGCTTTTGAATACTATATCACGTCAACTATTGAAAATATTGTATTTCTCTCTTCAGCAATGTTTTTCCTCATAATTAGATCTACAAATATTGTTTTGAGATCAAATAGAAAAAAACAACAACGTACTCAAAATAGCACTACTATAAAAAATGTTAAATTTTCGACATATTTTTCGATCGTGATTGGTTCAAGGTTTTCATGTTGAAAACTGTGATATTATGTTATTGGTTTGGATATCATAGTGATTGTTTTTTTAAATATATTACAGGATGGCACTGTTAATGTTTATACCATACAAGATGGACAATTTTTACGCACATTGAAACCAATTGGTTGTACTGAATTTTGTGTACAAATTTCATATGTAACAATATCCTATCATGGTAAGTGAATTTGTAAATGTGTATACTATATATATGGGCAAATTTGCCAATTTTTTTAAAATAGCTGAAGCGAAGGTCTGTCGTTGCAAACTTTTCACGATATTAACTTCCAAACGTTTTTGTGTGGAAGCTGTGTCTACTTTAATGTAAAAAAATGTGTAAAAACTGGTTAAGGCGAACCAGTTTTTTATGTTCCCTGTCGATATGTGATAGGGAAAAAATGTTTATTCTTCCCTTTTTTCTCCTCTGTTAATTTGGAAACAATTCAAATTTTACAAAGTTTTTCCTCTATTAGCCGGACAACTTTTGTCAAAACCACCGATATTGTGGGTTGAAGCATAACAAGGTTGAAGACATTGCAATGCGACTTTTGAAAACTTCCCTCCGCAAAACCCTCAGAGCTGCACACCCGGCTGTTGACCGCCGTGCTTTTCGGAAACCAGGGTTTAACGCTTCAGCTAAGTACACAATGGACATCTTTTGGTAGCCGCAGATACGCCTTGAAGCTAAAATGAGCAGTTGATTGAACATTTCTCTAGACCAGAGTTGAACAGAACTAAATTGAGAGTATGTATGTGAGAGCGTAACTGAGAGATAATCATCAAAAATGACTGCCGAAAAGAGACAAAAAGAGAATACGTATTTAGCAATCACCGCTATCGTAATATTTTGTGCATTAGTGCTCTAGACACAAACATCTACTCACAGTACGGATGGTAGCTTTAATTTATTGGATTTATCTCTTAAATGCCCTCCAATAGATGCAGAGCTCCGATTTGCTCGATTTTACTCGCGAGTGAAAAATACTCCCGAGCGGGAGTAAGTAAAGAGTACGAGTTTTTTAGGGAGTATACTCTCCACTCTTTTATTTTGTTTGGGAGTGCACGCGAGTACTCCTTGTTGAAGAAAAAGAGTGTGAGTGAAAACGTTCGAAATAGAGTAAGAGTTCACTCTAAGAGTGAAATCGAGTGGACAAATAAATTTGGTTGTTTGGTTATTTGTGTGTGTGTGTGTGTAGTACCAAAAATTTTTTTTGATGTTGATCTTTTGTGTGGTGTGGGGAGATAGATCATTACAAAAACCAGTAAGGAAAGTAGTAAAGTCGGACGGGGCCGACTATATGATACCCTTCACCACTATGGGTATATTAAACAGGACGATTAACATGAAATTGGATGAAATAAAATATGTGATTTTTATCTAAATGTGAATCTATGTAGATCTATCCATAAAGTATGTAAATCGACTTCAAACAAATATAAATACGTCATCGGTTGGGCTATGTCTGTACTTCTAGAAAACGCAACTACGTAAATCTATGCTCAATTTTGTACGTTGTGCAAACTTTGATGTCAATCTGACTAACATGAGGAGTTTGATGCCCACTTTACGGGCGAAAATATATATGGAAGCTCTATCCAAATATTAAGCGAATTCAAACAAACTTGTCACAGGTTAGGTTATACTAATTTCAGAACGTTTTGTTCCTATCAGCCTATTGGATCCTTGGTGCGTCAATTACTTATAATCAATCTATAATAAAAGGGAGCTATATCTAAATATGGACCGATTTTCAGTACGTTATGCCAAATTTCGTGCAAATCGTGCATCATTTACATGAAATCGGACGAAACTATATATGGGAGCTATATCTAAATCTGAACCGATTTTCTCGAAAATTGGCACACATTATTCTGAAACTAATTCAGTACGCTATGCCAAATTTCGTGCAAATCGAAACATATATAGGGACTTTGGTGCATCATTTACATGAAATCGGACGAAACTATATATGGGAGCTATATAGAAATCTGGACCGATTTTCTCGAAATTTGGCAGACATCTTTCAAGGCTCAATTCAGTACGTTATGCCAAATTTCGTGCAAATCGAAAGATATATAGGGACTTTGGTGCACCATTTACATGAAATCGGACGAAACTATATATGGGAGCTATATCTAAATCTTCACCGATTTTCTCGAAAGTTGGCAGACAACATTCTAGGCTCAATTCAGTACGTTATACCAAATTTCGTGCAAATCAAAAGATATATAGGGACTTTGGTGCACCATTTACATGAAATCGGACGAAACTATATATGGGAGCTATATCTAAATCTGGACCGATTTTCTCGAAAGTTGGCAGACAACATTCTAGGCTCAATTCAGTACGTTATACCAAATTTCGTGCAAATCAAAAGATATATAGGGACTTTGGGGCACCATTTACATGAAATTGGACAAAACTATATATGGGAGCTATATCTAAATCTGGACCGATTTCCTCGAAACTTGGCAGACATCATTCTAGACCTAAGTGCTTAGGCTGTACCAAATTTTGTGCAAATCGAAAGATATATAGGGACTTTGGTGCACCATTTACATGAAATCGGACGAAACTATATATGGGAGCTATATCTAAATCTGGACCGATTTTTACGAAACTTGGCAGACATCATTCTAGACCTAAATGATTAGGCTGTACAAAATTTCGTGCAAATCGAAAGATATATAGGGACCGTTTACATTAAATCGGTTAAATATATATATGGGAGCTATATCCAAATCTGAACCGATTTTTCCCAATTTCAATAGGGTTCGTCCTTGGGCCGAATATGTGACCTGTGCCAAATTTCATCCAATTCGGATCATAAATGCGACCTGTACTTTGTTTACAATTTAACATGGACAGACAGACGGACAGACGGACAGACGGACAGACGGACGGACGGACGGACGGACATGCATAAATCGACTTAGAAAGTGATTCTATGTATATTCTCAAAAGGAACCATGGGTCTATCTCGATTATTTTTGCCTGTTACAAACATATGCACAAAGACATAATACCCTGTACCACAGTGTGGTGAAGGGTATAAAAAAACAAAAAAGGACATTGATTATTTTGTTTATTGAAAATGTTTACACATGTGATGTACGAATAAAAATCTTATATGAAATGACTTACATAAAGAGAACGCAGAAAACGAGCTTGTTGATGCATGCTTTCCCAGCAGTACTGCAAACCAAACATCACAAAACAAACAATGCACACAAACAACATCAAGTAAAACAACGGTATCACAAAAAAAAAAATATATATATATAATAAAAGAGTACTCGGCAAGAGTGTAATCTGCTCGCTTTCGAGCGTATTTCACTCCCAATCGAAAACGAGCAAAGCACCTCCGCTCTTATTTGAGTGGCAAAGAAAAATAGAGTAAACCAGAGTTGAACAGAACTAAATTGAGAGTATGTATGTGAGAGCGTAACTGAGAGATAATCATCAAAAATGACTGCCGAAAAGAGACAAAAAGAGAATACGTATTTAGCAATCACCGCTATCGTAATATTTTGTGCATTAGTGGAGTAAACTCTATTTACTTTTTCTACTCGCAGGAGTACTCCCGCTCGAATTCGAGCGAGTTTCACTCTTAACTCGAATTCGAGCGAGCATTTCGGAGCTCTGAATAGATGACACACCTTGCACATCATTTTCACAATCAAAAAATAGTTCCACTGAGCTTATATCAATTAAAATTAGTTTTTCTGAAATATTCTACTCAATTTTTTGTTTACAATATTTCTGTTGAAGAAGTGTCAAAACAGTATTATCGACGGCAACTGAGAAAAGTTGATATTCATAATGTTAAGTTTTATTTCAGTGGCGTTGCTAATTGAAATCGCAACTGGAGTTTGTCTTGATTTAGATTAGGCGAGTTTACTTGCGGCAAGTCTTTGTTTGTAGGGGAGAGGGGCAAGGGGAATATAAATCAAAAAAAATTGCTCGTACCGACAATTTTCTGGCAATTCGTTTTGTGTATTTCGTATTTGCTGACATTTTATATATATTTAAATGTGAAAAAACAACAAATAGAAAAATATTTTGGAAACCGAATTGCCTTGTATAAACGCATGAAGCAAGTTCAAAAGAGAAAGAGAAAGTATATGAAAAGTGTTTTTGGTTTGTATTTGATATTCGATACCTTAAATAAATTCACCATTTTGTTTAGAAAAAATATATAATAATAATGTGGTGTCATAATAAAATCTCAAAAACATCATATGCGCTCAAACGAATGTCCTCTACTGTATATGAACTTCTGTTATCATCCACACAGATTGTCAATATTTTATAAAGTCATATATCTCATAAAATGCTAATTGAATCCCCGTTCTAATCACACATAAATAAGGTAGAAATAACAACATCAGAACATTTACGATCGATTTACCATAATATTGCTATAAATTATGTGTTGGTGCCTTAAAGTATGCTATAAATATGTGTTTACAAATGAACATTTTATACCATGACATAAAAATGTTTTATGTTGAGTAAAGCATGATAGTTCTTTTCTAGGGGCACTAAATATGAAAAAATTATCTATTTCAATTTCATTTATTTCAACAAATTGGAACCTAGCCGTAAGGCCATGAACGCTTTCAGAAACCACATCAGCTATTACTTATATGTTAAATATAAATAAAATTGGTAAAATTACGAATTATGACATTCGTGTTCATTGCAACTACTATCATAAAAGAAGAAAAACATCACAACTATGATATTTCGTCCAAAAAGCGCGATATTTTTTTATAAGAGCTTTGAGTATTGGACAAACACCAGCATATAGGGTATATGCCGGATATAATAGAAAAATTAATGTGAATTAATAAGATATTTTATATAGGCCCATACGTAGATAATATTACATATTTTGATTTAAATATATGGGCAATATTGCCAATTTTTTAATATTCCATTATCAAAAAATCAGCTTTTTTGTTTTTGTGGCACATCAATGATTTTTGGTATACATATAGAGAAAAATGTTCTGACTCCGAAACCGTTCGCGATCAAATTTTTGGTTGATGCGCGCAAAAGTTATCAAGGTTTTAATTTTGGGCATAAGAAAAAAATCTTAAAATTACGCCGTTTATTATATTGACCAAAAACGTTGATATATATCTTCCTCCGTAAAATAAGAATATGAATAT